CACTACAGTGCATCTGAGGATGATTTAAGCACTGTTACATGTTTTACATTTTCCAAAATATTATCCTTTGGTAAACAAATTAACTTGTTTAGGACGCCTTCCTAACAATATTTCTCTAATCATGAAAGCTAGTTTTTAAGATCTAACATGCTATAGATACCAGATAAAAACCTTAGGTTTTAGATTCTGCAATAAAACAAGTCTTTCAGTAAAATCATTTAAAACCATTACAATACTGGTTAATTCAGAACGTAAGTAGTCACCCACTTTATCCCATTCATTTTATAAAACATCTGCACTGTACTGAAAGGAGGAGACTTAAGAGCACCATTTTGGCTCAATAGCTCTAGAGATGGATGACCATTTAAAGTAGTTGCATTTCGGATGCAGTGAATTTTTGTATTACATAAAGTGAAAAACTTGAAAAAAAATGTAATTTACATTTCAAAGATCTGTACTTGGGGAAAATCATTTTTCAGGCTAATTTACTAAATAAAGTGTGCATGCCAAGAACCATACTTAGATTAAGTGTGCAAGAAAAGTTTAATGTATGAGAATCTATATTCTTGCATTTGTTGAACAATTTTAGAATCAGTGTAGCTAATAAAAACTACGCAAACATTATCTGATAGGATAGATAAATGCCTACAAAAGCTTTTAATGCATTTAGAACATTCTAGTTTACCTACAGAAACTAGGACAACTTTACCAACAACAAACAGCCCATGAACATTTATTTCCTTAGGTACTTAAAGGGCAAATTTTCAAATGATTTATCATGTATCAAGTCAGAGCTATAGATATTAGAAAAAGGAGTATCTAAATTCTAAAAGCTTCAGTTCCCTGAAATATTACTTTTATTTCTACCAAACATCACCTCATCACTCTAAGAATAATTCAGTATTCTACAAAATGAGAGCAACTAAGGATATAAAGAATACTATTAAGTAACATTTACCACATAATCAAGTATAATAACCGAATATAGATAAAACCCAAATTAGAGTGTCTGAATATCTTCCCCCACTGAATTTTGTACTACACTTGGATGGACTGGATTCACTTCACAATAAGCAGTTGTGAATCAAGAAAGATACTCAGCAACTGTTACACCACACTTGATGTTATGAACAATGCCTATATCTATATTCAGGATTACAAAAAGTAAATGATAATTTAAGTTTCCAAATAAATGAAATGTCGTACATTAAATACTTCCAATCATCATCAATGCAGCATTAGTTTAAAATTAAAAATTTATATATCTTATTTTCAGTATCATTAACTAGTGTAATAAAGTTACTTCTGTATAACTAAAGAACCAAAAAATTGCACTTCACTAAATAAACATATGACACTAAGAATTTTGTCAAATTTCTGTTTTTTTCACGTCAGTATAACTTTAATCAACAAAAAAGGAAAAGGTTTATGGAAAAATAATTGGAGAGGCCCTTCTAAATTTTAATTCTTTTGTAAATATGTGAAAGATCTCTAAAACATGGAAAGACAGTTTTATAAAAATGTACAATTTCATTCCTTCATGCTAACAGATTAATCCTTTCCCCTTAATGAGCTTTTTTCTTGCCTAAGAATAGCTGATGTGATTTAATTTTCAAAGCTGTGAGTCACTGGAAAACTTTGTGATTTCTTCCAAATCTGTAACCACAAGCCTATCCCAGTCAACAATAGTTTTATAGTCACATTTACAATAAAGGTACAGATTACTTGTAAGGAAAGGCTATTGAACACAGTGGGCTATAACAACTTATATTTAATGTCTATAGGGCAAAAGAAGCCATTTGCTGAAAAGGCTTCCCTACAAGTTCAGCCCTCCTCCTATCTCGAAGTGGATTCCTTGTATTTAAGTTTTAATTTAGAATTAAATATAAAGGCTACACAAACAAAGCAATTGTAATGAAAAAATGTAATAATTTCTGATAAAGATATCTAATTGGTATATTAAGAAGTTATGCTAAGAATTTTAAAAGTTAGGTGTCTTACTGAGAACTAAAATACATACAAGATAACAGGCATATAGACAAGTAGAACAATTCACATCATAGTAGTTAAATATTTACAAATTAAAAATACAGCAGGAATCTGTACCAGCTACCATACTGATGTTAAATGTATATATATGGAGCTTGAGTGTGGTTAAGATTCTGTAAAAAACTGAAGGTAATTTTTCAAGAGATGTTATAATTACACAACTAAGGTGTAAAAAGTCCCTAGTCTGGCCAATTAAAAGCAAACAGTTACTGCACTATTTTCTAAACCTTTTGGAACTGTTCACAGGTTTTAAATACAGAAGAAGCTTTGCACTGCTTTTCAATAGACAGATGTCCCCCATAAAGCTGAAATTACTCAAAGTGAAAATTATGCACTTAATAACTTTTTACAAGATGGCTATGAAATTTTGTTACACAATAGCCTTTAGTCTCCTTTCAAGGAATTGAGAACTAGTAGAAGTATACTATTTTTATATTAATAATGTTAGACTTTTTAATTTCTGCAACATCCATTCCAAAATCGTTTCCAAAACACAGCATTTTAACTAATGCATTAAGAAAACTCTCCTGAAGGCTTGCTACAACAAAAGAAATGCTTGGATCCAAACGAATCTGCAAGTGTATCCCTATTATGTGGCATTAATTTATCATACACAGGTCACTTTAATGTCTTTATCTTAAAAAAAACGGAACCACCCCTTTTGCTTTAGGCAGAGGTTCTGCATAGGTGATAACTATAAGAAAAGAGAAGCTGTCTCTTTAAAATGCCCTGCTCTGTCCCTGATCCCACGTGGAACCAACATCAGCAGCACTTTCGCATTAACTTCAATGTGATGCAAGATGAGGCATCATTTTATATAAATAAAACAAGAAGGCTGCTGAATACATTCTTTATGGGACACAAACAGGTGAACTAAGCATGCCAGTGAAATCACCAGGCATCCCCAGAAGAGGTGCCCTTACTCTGCGCCCTCTACGCCAGAAGAGGTGCCCTTACTTTCTCTCTCTCTGAGGAAATGTTCCAATCCAACACTACACTGAAGAATCCAGTTTAAATAGAGGATGGAGTCACAAGTAAAATTTGAATTTCAAATGCAACGAAAATGTACTTTATAAACCGGAAAGGTTTACTCTTTGCTTCACACATCCTAATTAGATCAGGAAAGTGACACTACAAAGGCATTACATTCCGGCCAAAAAATAAGAAAAAGAGAAACCAACCGCACACAAAGAGCATTAAAAAGGAAGTTATAAAGGAGCAAATATAGCATTTATCTTATCTAAAAATCACTCCACATTACCCCAAAGTTATGTAGTTTCTGCACTACCATCTCCCCCTACCTCTCTCATCTGAATGGGATTTTCACGTTTTCTTATTGTCGGTGGCGAGTTATAAGAGGCTTTTGCCTTTCCAAAGAATTCATCAATAGAAAAAATAATAAATATTAACTCCTTGCTCCCTGAAACGTTAAAAGGGGCATGCGAGGACACGGGGTTTATTCCGTTACCCTTAGGAAGAAAAGGGGGATCAGCCCCGCTTTTTAAGTATTTTTGGGAATTTTTTTCTAATTTTTATTTTGTTATATGCCTCAGTTCTCCCTCCATTTTGGTTGTTTATGATACTGACAACAAGCTGTCCCTGCTCTCTCTCTCCGGATCTCTCCTGCTTTCAGTTAACAAACCCCTCTCCCCAATGCAACAACACTCAGCACTAACTTGGATTCACACTTTCCTCTAAACATACCCGAATGAGGGAAGCAAAAGGCTCCTGGGCGACTCGAAGGGGGGGAGAGCAGATAAATTATTTTCTTTATTATGGAAGGAAAAACTTTAGTCTTCCCCCCACCAAAAAAAAAAAAAAAAAAACCGAAGGAAAGGGGGGCTGAGTTCCGCAAAGTGACTCCAGATCCCCCCCAAAAGATTGAGCTGGCTACTTCCTAGGACAAACTCTGGAGAGTGGGGTCCACCCGGGAAATTTTTGTGCAAAATGCGCCTGGTTTGATAGTTCGGGTGAATTTATATTAATTTTTCCCTCATTTTTGGGCAACACGGTCTCTAATGTCTTCCGCTCCCTCTCGCTGCTGTCACTCTATTCACAGCACAGACCCTGGAGAAGGAGAGGGGGGGGTGCTAGAAGATGGGAGAGGGGGGGAACTTCTGCAAAAAACTTTTCAGAACTCCCCAACGAAGCTAAGGGGTGGGGGAGAACCCTTCTCCCTCCTTAAGTTCCCCAGGCAAACTTCTCTCCCTCTTTAACTACTACGGTGCAGGAGGGAAGAAGGGGGGAGGGTGGACTAAACTCCTAAGATATATTTTTATAAAATACATTTTCCAGACTATCTATTTTTCTCCCCTACTTTCTGCCTTGGGGTCCCCAGAAGGATAGTGGGGGCAGCTCAGAGATGGGAGGGGGCGCGATTAACACAAACTTTTCCTTGCCGCTGCTTGCTGCTCCTCTCTCCGCTCCCCCTCCTCCTTCTCCTCCTCCCCCTTCATAATTTAAATAACCCTGATATTTCCCTGCTAAACCCCGGCGCCTGCCCCCCAAACCCGCAGCAGACTCACCGCGGGAGCCTCAGCATCCCCTCTGCGCCCCGTTTCCACCCTTTACAGTGTTCTCCGATTTTTCTGTAATTTTTTCCCCATATTTCGGGCTGGACGCGGCGGGCCTGGAAATTGTTTGCTTTCCCCTCTTTCCAGCAGCCATTGTAGTGTATGCGCTGCGGTGCAGCCCAGCCTGCCGCACACGCCGCGCCCACACCGCCCGCCGCCCACACGCGCCGCGGGTTGGCCGCCTCCCCCCGTCACTCAGGGCTCCGGCCGCGCCCCGCTGGAGGCGCCTGCGGCCCGCGCCGCCCGCCTGGTTGGTGGAAGAAGACGCCGCTCAGGCCGGGGGAGGGCGGGGCCGAGCGGGGATTGGCGGCCCGGCCGCGGGCTCGGCGCTGTCACTCAAACCGGCCGGGGAGCCAGGAGTGGGCGGCGGCGGTGTCAGTCCGGGGGGAGCCGCGGGGCCGGGAGCGGGCTAGGCTGCGCCTCTACATAACTGCTGCCGCCCGAGCTGCCGCTGACGTCTTTCGAATTGGAGACGGGGCTCGCGCGCCTGCTTAGCCGCCCGTGAGGTAAGTGCGGGGCCAGGGTGCCGCGGGCCGGTCTTCCCCGCCGGGACGTCCACGCCGCCTTCCCCCTGTAGCGCGGCCAGGGACCCGCCGCTCCGGGAGCGGGCTTTGTCCTCCCGCCTCAGGGTGGGGAGCAGGAGCGGGGCCCGCTCGCTTCACCTCCGCGGCTGCCCTGACGGCAGGGGGCGCCCCCGCAGTTGGGCCCGGGCGGAGAGGCGGGCGAGCCTGCACCGGAGTTCAGGCTTCCCTGTCACTGAAACGGAGGGGCGGGGGCGGTGTCTCCGCTCGCTGTAGCCCCTCGCCGCTGCGGGGGGGGCCCCCAGCCCCCCCCCCCCCCTCGAGACGGCGCCGGCCCCCCTC